CAGGAAGCAGAGGCAAGAGGACCACCATGAGTTCCAAGGCCACATAGTGAACTCAGGGCCTGCCTGAACTACATAGCAAGACCCTGTCTCAAAAAAAAAAAAAAAATTGAAATCTGTTCCTGGGCCGGGGATATAGCTCAGAGGTACAGTGCCTGCCTGGCAAGTACAAGGTCCTGAGTTCAATTCCCAGCCCCTCCCCAAAAAAAAGAAAAAGAAAAAGAAAAATGTTCCTGTGCCATAGTCTTAAAAGCAACAACTAAATTCATCTAAAAAAGAGAAGATGTGATGTGATTGATGCTGCACACCTCTAATCCCAGCACTTGGGAGGTTGAGGCAGGATTGGTATGAGTTCAAGGCCAGCCTGGGCTAAATGAGTTAAAACACCAGCTTAAACTACATAGCAAGTCCCTGTCTCAAAAACCAAAATAAATAAATAAATAAATGAAGAAAGAAAGAAAAAAAAAAAAAAAGAAAAAGCCTGGTGCAGTGGCATGTGGCTATCATCCCAGCACTTAGGAGGCTGAGGCAGGAGGATGGCCACAAGTTCGAGGTCACTTGGAGATACATAGTGAGTTCAAGGCCAGTCTGAACTACATAGCAAGATCCTGTCTCAAACAAAAACAAGGCCAGGGGCTGAGGATTTAGCTCAGCTCAGCGGCACAGCGCCTGCCTGGCAAGCAGAAGGTCGTGAGTTCAATTCCCGGTACCAGAAAAAAACAAAAACAAACAAACAAACAAAAAACCCCAAAAAACAAACAAACAAAAACAAGGCCAGAGATACAGCTCAGCGGCACAGCACCGGCACAACACTTGCCTGGCAAGCGTGAGGTTGTGAGTTCGTTTCCCAGTACCAAAACAAAAAAACAACAAAAAACCCACAAAAGGCCAGGTATGATGGTGCACTCCTATAATCCCATAACTCAGAAGACTGAGGCACCAGGGTTGGAGGATTAAGAAGTTCAACCATCAGCCTGGGCAACCCTGTCTCAAAAATGTAAAATGGGCTGGGAATATAGCAAATGACCTCAATCTATAGTACTGAGAGAGAGAAAATTAAAAGAAAAAGTCACCAATTACCAAGTATACTAGTGCCATCATCTGTGGCCCTGTGCTCCCTGCAATGAGAGCTAGATGACAAGAGAATAAAATTTTTGAAAGCACAGCTTCTAAACGTTCATATATCTACCAAGTAGAACAAATGATTTCTCTCCATTGATTTCCTATGATTCCTCAAGAGTAAAATCCCATTGCTCTGTGCCTAATGCACAAAGAATGGGAAGACAGATTTCAAACAAATGAGAACGAAAAGGACAAAGAGTCAGATATGGACACGTACACACCTGTTCAGTTGTTTGTCAATTCCAAAATGATCAGAAAGCCATTCTAATATATATTCCAAAGTAACTCAATAATAGCATAGAAACAGATTGTTGAAACCAACATCACTCAAGATGTGTTTGTCATTTTACTAAAAAACACGATTTGAACAACCAGATTATAAAGAAATTTTGAATACAGGAAAGTTTGCACATTTGCAAATCAAGACCACCGGTTGTCCGCCCATGCAATTTAAATAACAGGTATTGTCTGAGGTAAGACCATCTCACCAAATGCAATAAAGCCCTGCAGAAAGAACTCTCATTAGGGCTGGGAAGTATAGCTCAGTGGCACAAGCACCTGCTTGGTAAGCAACAAGGTCCTGAGTTCAATTCCCAGGAAGCAAAAAAAAAAAAAAAAAGACCAGCAAGGCTGGGGATACAGCTCAGTGGTAGAGCAATTGCCTACCACGCTTAAAGACCTGGGTTTGATGCCCAGCAAGCAAAAAGTAAGAAAATAAAAAGCAGGAAGCAAGGCATGATGGCACACACCTGTAATCGCAGCGCTCAGTTGAGCCAGGAGGATGACTGGGAGTTCAAGGCCAGTCTCAACTATATAGTAAGCCTTGCTTCAATAAATAAATAAATCAGAAGCAGCTGCCACACACACACACTGCAGCCAAAAAACTTAGATGGTTTCAACCAACACCAGAGAGTCCCACAAACCCCTACACTTCCTATAACCTAGGTTCCCCAATCGCAGAACATGTTCCCAAAGGATCTTCTCTCTCCGAGTGAAAAGCAAGCGGCGCCCCTGTGTACTACTAGTTTTCTCCGCTCCCAACAAATGCCTCCCGCTCTTGGCTCGCTCAACTTGAGCTGTCCAACGCCTCTCCACTCAGGAGCCCATCTGAGAGCCAGGCTCCTCCTAAACATCAGGAAAAACAGAAACCGATGTTTGGCTCCACAGGAGGATCTGCCGATCCGCCCCTGATTGTCTCTCTCGGCGCTAGCACAGGGCCGCGGGCAACGCGCCTGCAGAGGAACCGAGGGACCCTCATGCAGACGCGGGCAGAACCTTCTGGGCAGGACACTGTCGGGCTCCGCGCCTGCACCGCAGGGTCCCTGGCTCAGGATCGGTGCCGGCTGCCAGGGGCGGGCCCGTCTCTGCGTGTTTATCTACGGCGACTGCTTAAGTGAACTCGGGCCAAGGTGGTCCTCGTGGACACCTATGGGTCTCTGGGACACAAAGGCCAGCCGTACCCGCTGCATGGGGCCTCAAAACGGAACTTCAGCAAATCGCCATTCACAGGCGGTTCTCGGGCTGACCCGAAGGAACTCGTCTCGGTCGTGTCGTGGACTTGGCGCCCCCAAGACGCCTGGTACTGTGATTTTCAGAGTCAGGCCTCGAAGGCCTAGCCTGAGAAGTGTGCACGCCACATCCCGAGATACTGCCTTCCCTGCTCGGAGGTTGGGACCAAGTTTCCCGCCCCGCGGCCCGACCAGAGGTTGGTGGCAGTTGGAGGCGGCTGGGGCCGGTCCCAGCAGGTTGGAACCGGTCTGGGCCGGGCCGGAGGAAGAAGGGGGGAGGGAGAGGCCGCCTCGCGCTCTCCCTGCGCGCGTGACTCACGCTGGCCGCTGACGTCAGGCGTGCGCGCGCGGCGGGGGGGGCTCTACGTACGTGTAGTGCTGCGGTTTCTCGGGCTGTGCCTGCAGCACCTGAGCGGTAGCGGCCGGGGGCGCCGAGGAAGCTGCGGAGCCGCCGGGCCCGGGGCCCTTCGACATGGTCCTGTCTTCCTGCCTCTTCGCCGCTCCCCTTTTATTATTCAGTCTGCGCGGTCCGCGGCTAGGACTCAGTGCGCTTGCGCTGCGCCACGAAAACGTGAAGACCCCCCGCACGGGGGCAAAGGTTGCTGGGAGTTGTGGTCCTCCGTTCGGCTGAAATTTTACCGTCGGCAGAGGGTTGCTGCCAAAGCGTGAGACCACAATACCCAGGGGTCTCTGCGGACAATGTCCCGGATTCTGAGGCCCCGCGTCGACTTCTGGGAATTGCAGTCCGAGCATGCTTGTCTTTAACTTAGAGTTTTGAGTTTCCTAGGGGAACCTTTTGTAGATACTGGAGCCGCTGAGATAGAAGGGAGCCAGAACTTGGAAGGCCCTAGCGATTTCTGCGAAACAGTTGCAAATATAATTTCACTGCGTTAAATCCCTTGCTTCTATACTCAATAAATCTTTGGCACAGTTGTAATATTGGCTTAAGTGGTGCAGAAGGCAGAGTTTTTAAGACTTATTCTTGGGGACCGGAAGCTCAGCGGCTCAGCGCCTGCCTGGCAAGCTCGAGCCCTGAGTTCGATTCCCTGTACCAAAAAAGAAAATAGTAACCAAAAAAAAAGAGACTTACTAGGGGGCTAGGGATTTAGCTCAGCAGCACAGCTCATGACTGGCAAGCACAAGGTCGTGAGTTCAAGTCCCAGTACCGGGGGGAAAAAAAAAAAAAGAAAGACTTACTGTCGGTTCTTAGCTTTGGGCCTTTGTACGTCAGGCACCTGGAGTTGGTGGACATCCTCCTCATCGCTGCAGTGCAACTAACCTGGCAAGGGAACCCTGATGCTGAAGTCAGTTTGAGAAAGCTTTGCTAAGGAAGAGCTGTGCTAAGCAATAGCCACTATGCCTTTGCTTCATTAACATTTACCAACCCTGATACCTGGAACTGGACAGCTTGGGTCCCTTCTCACCTAGACACCTGGCCCAATTAAGTTGTTTCCAGTACATTAAGGGCCAACGACGAATTTAATCTGTTTAGAACAGTCTTAGAGGTCCACTGGCAAGTTGCAGGGGTGTTGAGAAGCATCACAGGAGTGAGCAGAGGGCCTGGGTTTAAGTAGGGGCTATCCATTATAATCCACTCTAGTTTGTTTCCCTGGACCCAGCCTCTATATTTGAGAAAAAACTTTTCCCCTCCTACTCCTAGCAGTTAGGCATAGTTGTTTTTTCGTAAAATAAGTCAGTTGCAGGCCAGCTGTGGTGGTGCATGCTTATAATCCCAGCACTCAGAAGGATAAAGCAGGAGGATCACTGCGAGTTTAAGGACAGTCTGAGCAGGGCGTGGTGGAGCACGCCTTTAATCCCAGCACTGGGGAGGCTGAGGCAGGAGGATCGTTACATGTTCAAGACCAGCCTAGGCTACGAAGTGAGCTCAAGGCCAGCCTGAGTTTTATAGTGAGACCCTGTCTCAAAAAAAAAAAAGGCCAGTCTGAGCCATATAGTGAGTTCAAGATCAGCCTGGACGACATTTCAAAACCCTGTTTCAAACCTCTGGCACACACCTGTAATACCAGCACTGGGGAGCCTGGGGGCAGGAGGATCGCTGTGTGTTTGAAGCCAGCCTGGGCTGCACAGGGAGACTGTCTCAAAATACACACACACACACACACACACACACACACACACAAAATTACGAATAACCTTAGGGATGAAGGGGGATGGGGCAAACGGAAAATTGTTAATGTTTAAGAGTGACACATCCTTCTTTATTCTTTACTTCAGGGTAACCTCACACAGCTAGATTATCAGCTTACAAAATTGAGAAACTAGTATTTCCTAAGCAGACCAAATCTATCCTTTAGCCACTAGGACCCTTTGAAGATAAAAAATCCCAAAGGACGAAATTATTGCTTTGGGTATATGTGTATGTGTATATTGCTTTAAATCCATGATTAAATCCATGGGGCTGGGGATTTAGCTCAGGGGCACAGCGCCTGCCTGGCAAGCGCAAGGTCGTGAGTTCGATTCCCGGTACCGGGGTGGGGGGTGGGGGGGAATCCACATACTTCGTTTATGTTATCCCTGAAACACTCGAGTATGCTCTCACTGCAGAACTACAGTTTACAGCCTTCGATTTTAAATAATAGATGTACAACACGAGCTTTAGAATAAGGGTGTACTGGGGGCTGGGGATTTAGCTCAGCGGCACAGCACCTGCCTGGCAAGCAAAAGGTCGTGAGTTCGATTCCCGGTACTGGACAAAAACAAAAACAAACAAACAAACAAAAAAGAATACGAGTGTACTGGTAGAATTAGGAGGTATCACCCAAACTGCTTAATTTGCACGAGGAAACTGAAACCCAGAGAAGTGAAGTAACTTTCAGAAAGTTACTCAGCAAGTTGGCGATAGAACAGGAGTTAGAATGGTAACCTATATGCTGCATCACATTTGCTGTTTTTGGTTTTTGTTTTTGTTTGCAGTGCTGAAGAGTGAACCCAAGTCCTCTCCCTGGGCAAGCCTCCCATCACTGTCACACTCCCAGCTGTGTGCTGGGTTTTTATTGTACTGTATAGACATTTTCAGTTCTTCCCCTCTTCCCGCATTGCTTTTCCTCTCCTATGCCAATTTAGAAAAAAAAAAAAAAAAAGCTTGTGTGGAGCACGCCTTTAATCCCAGCACTCGCGAGGCTGAGGCAGGAGGATCGTTACATGTTCAAGACCAAGGTGGACAGGCCGTTTCCACTAATTAAATAAACAAGTTTCCACTAATTAAATAAACAAGTGCACATCCGTACTTGTTTATCCTAGTGTAGGTTTTAGTTTCTTTTTAATAATTAGCAAAAGCAGGGTAGGGTGACTGTTCCTCCCCTTGGGAGACAGGAACATGACAGGGATCTGAATTTCCTAGAAAATCTGTGGAACACAAGAACGAGTGAGTTCACGCCTGTCCACCAGCAGTCAGTTCAGGAGCTCATTCCTCCCTCAGGCCGTTTGAATTGTCAAAAACAGGCCTTGGTCAAAAAAAGAGGAGGAGGCTGGGCAAGGGAGTAAAAGCGCGGCCTAACGTGGCCTAACGCCCTCTCATTGGAGACCGAGGTAGGAGGATTGAAAGTTCAAAGTTTGGGCAGTTTAGGAGATGTACATACCTTAGTGGTAGAGCACCCAGGGTTTAATTCCCAGTAATGGGGATGGGTTGGGGGAGGACAGCGAAGTATCTTTTCTGGTTGCACCCTAGATCATTTGACAGCCTCCTATGTAGGTCTAAGTAGTATCCTATTTCTTAACTTTTCACATTCTGAAGGCAGACCAAGAGCTCGTGTCTTGCTCTCTCAGTAGGACATAAATGAAATAATTGTTTCTCTACCCCAATCTCTGAGCAGAAGGCCGAAATTAAAGTTTGTTAAATTATTATATGAGGAAAAAATTATTATATGAGGGGCTGCGGATATAGTTCAGTCGTAGAACACTTCTCAGCATGTGGGAAGCCCTGGGTAATCCCTAGTTGCCCACCCCCATCATAAAATAAAGGGAATTCAGCACTAAAAATGGGACCAAAGATGCTTCTGCCATAGCTACTTTTTCAAATTGTCCACTTTTTTTTTTTTTTTTTTTTTTTGAGACAGGCTCTTGCTATGCAGTTCAGGCTGGCCTTGAGCTCACTTTGTAGCCCAGGCTGGTCTTGAACTCGCAACGATCCTTGTGCCTCAGCCTCCCATGTGCTGGGATTACAGACGTGTGCCACCACGCCAGGCTATGTTTTTGCACTCTTGATATTGAAACAAGACCTTTGGTGTGGCAAGTAAATACTAATATATTTATACTTAGGTATAATAACTCTCTCAGTTGAAATCTATATTTGCCTGGCTCTGCTTTTTAATAATTTAAAATAGTCAATGAATCAGAGTCATAGCTATCCAGCATAGTTCCCAAGGCTCTATTTCACTTTTCTGAGCTTTGTTTGGCCCTAGTTTGGTTTTTTATATATTTGAGGCATCTAGAGAACTGATTATAAAGTGTCCACGCTGGGCATCGTGGTGCACAGGTGTAATCCCAGCATTTGGGAGGCTGAGACAGGAGGATCGCCTAAAGTTTGAGGCCAGCCTAAAGTACACAGTGAGACCCTGTCTCAAAACAAAACAAAACAAAACAGGGCTAGGGATCTGGCTCAGTGGTTGAGTTCTTGCCTTTCATGCAGAAGGCCCTAAATTTGAGCCCCAGCACTACAAAAACAAAACAAACAAAACAAAACAAAAGCGTTTATTTAGCTGGGTGTGGTGGCTCATGCCTGTAGTCCCAGAATTCAGGAGGCTGAGGCAGGAGGATCGTTTCCAGTTGGAGACCAGCGTAGGCTACAAAATGAGCTCAAGGCCAGCCTGAACTGCATAGTGAGACCCTGTCTCAAAAAGACAAAAAAAACAAAAACAAAAACATTTATTTAGCCAAAGGTAGAGTAGCATTTTCACACATTTGTCATGTTTCTTGTCAGAAGTAATGCCTGCCAGGTATACCATTAAACACAAGGGAACATATTTAGTTATCTTTTATTTTTTATCTTTTATTCTTTATGAACATATAAATACTATAGTAAGACAGTGTTCTTTCCTGCTGTACTCCTTTCATTGAGTTGAATTATGTAATTTAAGACATAGTTGGCAAGGAGGTTACTTCTCGTTTAAGTACTGTATATTGAAATCACAAACCATTTTGTGGCAGCTCACTTCTAAAATCATTAATTAACATTTGTTTCTTTGTAACATTTGTTTTTTCCGGTACACCTTTCCATCCCACCGAACAAAAGAACTACATGTTGCTTAAAAAACTATATGTACGATATATAAGAATTTGACAGCATAGCATGATTTACTGAATTCTCACACTGTGTATTTAACAATCAAAATGTGATGAAAAGTAAATAATCCAAGAAACATTCAATTCAATTCAATGAGGTAGCCTCTCCTCCCTTGCATTTGTTTGATACAAATAAATTTAAGCTCCTGCCCACCCAGACTTTCTTAAATTCTGATAGGGACCAATGCAATTCATTTGCATTGACTTTCTGTTGTAGAGCTTTGGAACCAAGGGAAGGATCCAAACATAGCTCCATTTTATCCAATCAGAAGAGCCGTTTAGTGCTAAACTCTGATTCGTCCATTCCTCTTTGCATCCATCCAATCACGAAGCAACTTTAACAGCCAATCAGCGGCCTAAACATTCGCCAATCAGGCAACGGGGCCGAAGCACGGCCTTTGTGTCGGGGGATGTCAGCGCGTCGGGGAAAGCTCAACCAATAGAAAAAGTCGTTGGTGTATGCAAATAAGTGTCCTGTGACGCAAATACGCAGCGTGAAGCGTGGGTATAAAAGCGGAGGCGTCGGGGGGTTTGGAGCGCAGAGCGGTTTGGTCGTTCGTTGAGAGGGTGTTGATTCTGTTGTAGGCAACTGCGGCTGCTGACGGAGCGCCGGTGCGGCGGTCGGAAAAGGGACCTAAGACTTCAGCGTTGGGTGAGTGTTCGCGGGCTTCCGTGTGACTTAGGTCCCGCCGGCCGTTGATGCCATGGGTTGCGGCCGTGGGAAGTCAATTGTTGGGTGGCGGGGCTCTTGGGGCGGCCAGCTCGGGTGTGAGGTCGGAAGCTTTCCTCCCGGGCTTGATTCCGGAACCGCGTCTCCGCCTCCTTCCCGGTGGTGATTCAGAGGTCCCGACGCCAGGTTCCGGGCAGCCGGGCCTCCGCCCGTCGAGAGAGGGAAGTGACTCCTCCCCGCGCTCCCCCCTCCCGGGGGAGGCTGCTGCTCTTTGCCGCCTGAGTCATTAGAGGAGGGGGAGGAGGCGGTGGCCCTCAGCCATCTGCCGCCGAGAGGTGGGGCACGAAGAGGCGGGAGGGCAGGGCCGCGGGGCTCTTTGCACGCCACCCGAGGCGGCGGCGGCGGAGGAGGGTTTGGCTGAAAGAGTCTCGCGGCCTCATCTCTCCTTGGGGTATTGTGCGTTGTAGGTGAAAGAAAATGGCCCGAACCAAGCAGACTGCTCGTAAGTCCACTGGTGGGAAAGCCCCCCGAAAACAGCTGGCCACTAAAGCTGCCAGGAAAAGCGCTCCCTCTACCGGCGGGGTGAAGAAACCTCATCGCTACAGGTAGGCAGAGCAGAAGGGAAACAATGACTTGTTGGCGGCCAGCTTTGTGCGCTAGCGCCTGACCCCCCGGTGTCCTTTTACATGCTCTGCACCTTTCAGGCCTGGTACCGTGGCGCTTCGAGAGATTCGTCGTTACCAGAAGTCGACCGAGCTTCTCATTCGGAAGCTGCCTTTCCAGAGGTTGGTGAGAGAGATTGCCCAGGATTTCAAGACCGACTTGAGGTTTCAGAGTGCAGCCATTGGTGCTCTTCAGGTAAGGGGGCAAACAAGGCTTTGCAGATGGGGGGGGGGCGCCGCTTGCGTGGTTTTTGAAGGCGTTAATGGTGTGGCTGTTGTCCTCAACAGGAGGCGAGTGAAGCATACCTGGTGGGCTTATTTGAAGATACTAATCTGTGTGCCATCCACGCTAAGAGAGTCACCATCATGCCCAAAGACATCCAGTTGGCCCGCCGGATACGGGGAGAGAGAGCTTAAGTGAAGGCAATTTTTATGGCGTTTTGTAGTAAATTCTGTAAAATACTTTGGTTTAATTTGTGACTTTTTTTGTAAGAAATTGTTTATAATATGTTGCATTTGTACTTAAGTCATTCCATCTTTCACTCAGGATGAATGCGAAAAGTGACTGTTCACAGACCTCAGTGATGTGAGCACTGTTGCTCAGGAGTGACAAGTTGCTAATATGCAGAAGGCATGGGTGATATTTCTTGCTTCTCATGATGCATGTTTCTGTATGTTAATGACTTGTTGGGTAGCTATTAAGGTACTAGAATTGATAAATGTGTACAGGGTCCTTTTGCAATAAAACTGGTTATGACTTGATCCAAGTGTTTAACAATTGGGGCTGTTAAGTCTCACCATACATCACTGTGATAGAATGTGGGCTTTTTCAAGGGTGAAGATACAAGTCTTAACCACAGTGTAACTTACAGTTTCCTTAAAAAAAAAAAAAAAAAAAGTAAACCTGGCAGCTATAGAATACACTATGTGCATTTATAATAGCTATTTTATATATTGTAGTGTCAACATTTTTAAATTAAATGTTTTACATTCACAAGTGGTGGGAAGTCTTGTCATTAAGGTGTGTGTAATAGAGTCCAGTTGGTTTTTCTCCTAACTAGACTGCACTTGTTTTCTATATAGTAGTGAAATGCTATGTGTATACCTTGCATAAGTCCTCATTCTACCACATTAACTAACCCTCTAGCTGATACTGCAAACACTAACTGGGGGATTTTGTTTATAAGGGCTCTAGAATAACAAGTTATTCACACCAGCATCATCTGTTACTAATATTCTAGTTAGTGCAGCTTTTCATTGTGTTGTGGTTGGTCTCATAATTAGGTTTTTTCTGATCTACTGAGCGGAAACAATACCAAGGTTTCGTTTTTGTTGTTTCGTTTTTTTTCCCTTGTGGAGTTAGTGTGAACTTGCTTTGGGGGAGGAGCATACTGCTCCAGCCTGTTGGATCTCTGCCAATTAAGATGGTGTTGGGTTAGGTCACATCTGGTTACTGTCCTGGGAAAATCCCTTTTATAGAGCCGGCCTTCCAAGGGGTTTTTTAATTCATCATATTGAAGTTTTTAGGTCAATTATGTATGTTGACTAAATTTATAAATAAAACTTGTTTATTCAACAAAGTGTCAAAAACCTAAATTGAATGTACAAAGCTTTTAATACATTCATTATGTAGGTTCTGTATATCCTAATGTTTGAGTAGAGATTATTTCAGCTTTTGTGTGGTAGACAAAGGAACCATTTACTTTCAAAAAATAAGCATGTAAACAGCCCTTTGCTCTATAAAAATGCTGTGATGAGCTAGGGATGTAGCCCAGTGGTAGTGTTTGCTTAGCATGCAAAAGGCTGTGATACTGCTACTTTTGCAGTGGGCTTATGACAACGTGTACAGTATTAATAAGTCTTCCCCCTGTAGTGTTAAAGCTAGGAAAACAAATTCTTAAGGTTTCAGGTTAAAATGCTGGGGTCTGTTTTATCAACCTGAGCTTGGAGCCTTAGAAATTTTTATACAAACTAACCCGAGCCTGTAGATGGTGAATTCATTGTTTAAATCACCTTTTTAGCATGAGTTTATGAGGGCCACTTGTAAAAAGCATGGTACATTAGTATCAACAAGACAGACGTAAGGAGTACCAGATATATCAAGGCTTTCCCATAGTAGTAGAAATTCTTGCCATGAAAGTTAGTTTCAAATTCAAGGTGCTTAAAAGGCAAGGTAGAATAGGTGACTTGAGCCTCTATGTGAGGGGTCACAGATGGCATCCGTGTAATGAACTGGGTATATAGAAGGTTCATCAGAACCATCTAGAATGCTCAGCAATTTCCTTAAGTTGTGCTTTGAACAAGATTGAAGTTTTAGGTATTGAGATGCGCTGTGACAGTGTCTGAAAAAACAGGAACTGGGGATTAGAGTTAACCTGTGGCAATGGAGTTGGGATATGCTGAGTATACTCCCAGTCTGCAGCCTGGAAGCTGCTTAAATAGTGCAACGTAGGCTTCCACACTTCCCTTGTACACTTAACCCAGAAGACAAATATCTTTTGGTTCTAGGAAGCTGTCCATACAGGATATTCCTGGGTAAGGGCAATGGACCGGAATCTGTAAGAAGGAAAGTAAAAGATGGAGCTGATGAAGGTATCCTGTGCCCTTGATGGATGAGACAATAAAGTTTATGAAGTTTTGAGATTTTCTCATCTTGTTAATGGTTTTCATTTGATGTCTGTTTTTTAACAAAGCTTGTAAATGTGTAGAGAGCCTTGCTTTTCCTGGGGTGTGGAGGGTGGGGAGCAAGTTTGAAAAAGAGTAGACAGGTATTTATTTTGATACAGGGAACTGAACCCATGGAGTGCTCATCTGTCCCTTCAGTTTCTTTTGAGACAGTCTTGAATTTACATTATCCTGCTTCAGCCTACTGAAAAGAAGAGCTAATGTTAAGAGTCCACCACATGCAACTAGACTTCTGGCCAGTGACCTCAGTTGAACCTTGGTGTATCAGCGCCATCCTCCACCCCCTATGATTGTTACACTGAGCTGTATCTCCAGCCCACTTTTTTTTTTATCTCTCAAGAGAGGTTTTGCTGAATCGCCAAATTACTAGTGCTGAATTTGAATTTGGAATCTTTGCTGCAGGCTGTTAGTGTTGGGATTACAGCCCTGTACTGCTATTTTAGATCTTTGTGGTGGGGAGGGCAGGTACCGGGAATTGAACTCAAAACCTTGCTCTTGCCAAGGCAGGTGCTTGTGCCACTGAGCATATCCCTGGCGCTCTGTTTCGTTTCTTTTTTTTTTTCTCTGAAATCAGTCTCCCTGTGTAGTTTAGTCTGGCTTTAAACTCACTTTAAACTCACTCATTGCAGTCCTGCCACAGCCTCTCGTGAGCGCCGGGATTAAAGGTGTCCAGCTGTAGATCTCCATCAGTTTTGCTGTAGTTTGCCTAGGACAGTGCCATTTTTTTTTTTTGGACTCGTGCCTGTGTTTACTCTTGGCCCAATTTGGCAATTACGTGGTCATCCTGCTTACAGCGTTAGAACGTGTGATGTAGACCCACTGAATCGTGTAAGAGCAAATTTTTTGGGGAAAGTATTTCAAGGTGCTTCCCCCAGAATATTGTGTACATGTAATTCCAGCAGTCTTGGAGGCTGAGGCAGGAGGATGGCAAACAGCCTGGGCGATTTAGTGATTCAAAGGCTGGCAATGCAGCTCAGTGTGAAGGCCCTGGGTTCAATCCTCAGTGTTTATACCACTGTTAACTTTAATTAAAGGCTGGGCTTAGTGACACATATAATCCCAGCCCTCTGGGGACTGAGTCAGGGTTGCCACCAGTTATAGGCCAGCCTGAACTACACAGTGAGACCCTTCCTCAAAGGAAAGAAGACCACATAAGATCTAACTTACCCATGAAGCCATCTACCTGTCCCACAGTTGGTTGTCAGATCAAGCCATGGGTGCTAGAAATGGGGCATAGGTGGTGAATAACTAGTAGGGGAAAGCGGGGGATGTGAAAAGGCTGGAGTGTCTACGACCATACCACCCTGAACGCACCCAGTCTCGTCTGAAAAGGCCGGAGAAACAAGGGCAATGAGTGCTACCTCCGGAGGTGGACCTAGTTTCTGGTAACAACTTCAACCATGGCCTTTTGCCACTTTCCTGAGGGGACAGGCTCAGCCTTGATTCAGAATGTCTGGCCCTTTGAGCTAGTGCCAGTTTATCTGACCCTTACTGGTCAGGGCTAGGAACCATTTTCCAGAGTTTTGAAAAACACCTGAAGAGGCCAGGAAGGAACACCTTATTACTTAGATGTTTTTATGCTGCTGCCTCTCCCAAACCTGGCCTCTGGTCAGGCGTAGGCGTGAATGCCTGTAATCCCAGCACTCAGGAGGTCAAGGCAAGAGGATCACTGTGACTTTGAGGCCAGCTAGCACTACATAGCAAGACCTCGTTTCAAAAAAACAAACCAAAGAACCCCTGACTTTTGCCACCTGGCCAGTGTCTCGGAATGTAAAGAAAGAGGTTCTAAGTATACTGGCTGAGAGCTGGGGATATAGCTCAGTGGCACAAGTGCCTCACAAGTGCAAGGTCCTGAGTTTGATTTCCAGTACTCTTCCCCCAAAATAGGCATGGTGTCACACACCTGTAACCCCAGCACTGGGGTGGCTGAGGCAGAGGATCGTTGTGAGTTCGAGGCCAGCGTGAACTGCACAGTGGGACCTTGTCTCCAAAAGACCGAAAAAAAAAAAAAGTATATTGGCAGATCAAAATGTACAGTTTCCTAATTGTTTACTGAATCTTTCCTTAGTTTCCCCAAAAATGGTCTGTGGTGTACCTGCAGGCATCTATGTGATGCCAGGCATCTGGGTTGGGGTTCTGTGAGTAGTCAGGAAGCAGGTCCTTTCTCTATCATTGGCAGGTAAGGCTGCAAAGGGAGGGACACAGCAGAACACAGCTGTCTGCCATTGGATCCACAAGAGACCCAGGTGCTAGCCCTTCATTTTCTGCAAGTCTGGCATCTGAGCCTCAGGCCTATGGCCCATCTAACATGCCATAGGATGAAGAATTTCCACCCCCTTCTGCAGCTCAAGGGGCAGGTTGTGCGTGTAGCATTTCCCAGTCCTCTCAGCAAAAGAGTCACTCCCTACCCACTTCCCTGAGGCATCAGCTACACCTCACCTAAGCACTGGTAGCCACTACCTTCCTCACCTCAGTGGTGCTCCCTGCCCTGTGCAGGCATTGCTTAGAAAATGCCTGTCTGCCGAGTGTGTTCTAGATGATTCTGATGGACCTTCTATAAACCCAGTTCATTACATGGATCCCATCTGTGACCCCTCATCTCGAGGATGTCACCAGCTTGGACCACTTCATCAAGCTAGGCTTTGCTTGTGATCAGCAGATTCAGCATAAACAGCTGGCCTTTACCTACCTCCCCAAGGACAGAGGAAAGCCTAAATCCTGCAGCAGTGCCCCCTAGGGAGAAGGCTGAAGGTGCCCTACCAGCTACCCTGAAAGGTGCAGGTGGCTAACCTTTCAGTTTTTTTTTTTCCCCTCCTTGGCAGTACTGGGGCTAGAACCCAAGGCCTCAGGCATGCTAGACAAGTGTGCTACCACTGACCTGTGCCCCTAGCCCTTTTTTGAAATTTTGGGAGGTTCTTGATAAGTCATCCAGACTGGCCTCAATCTTGTGCTCCTCCTGCTTAGCTGAGTAGCTGGGGTGGTAGGTGTGGACCACCATGCCTGGCCCTTGCAGTTCTGCAGGTCTAGGAAATGAGAAAGCCTGCTGCGGGGCATGGCTTTGATTATAAACTCTGGTTGTGCTGTGACAAAGGACAGAAGATGGTGTCCTCCCTCTTTTTGGTTAACTCCTGTTCCCTTGGTCCAGGGACTGCCAGGCCATCTGTAAAAGCCCCCACCAGGCACTACCATTGGTTCCAAACAAAGAGCCACAGAACTTCCATGTGATGAGCCCCAGCCTGTCCTCGACCTTACTTGGCTACCATGCCTAGCGTCTATCTCGGCTACTCTTACAGTTCAGACACACCTAGGAGCTGTGCCTCTTTGCTGCTTGCCCTTCCTAGCTCCCACCCCAACCTACCTCATTGCCCTTCTGCATGGAAGAAGCTAGGAGGATCTGCAATCACCTCTACTGTGGTAGCAAGAGAAGGCATTAGAAGGCCACAGTTTATCTGGAAAGGGATGCAGAGGAAGGGACATGAGGGGCAGGATCTCTCATCCAGGACATTGCAGTTCCAGAAATACATACAGTGGGATAGAGGTGGGCAGAAAGACAGGCTGAAACATACCTTGCTATGTAGTTCAGACTGGCCTTGAACACACTATGTACCTCAGACTGCCCTTGAACTTGTGCCTTCTGCCTCAGCCTCCAGCACTGGTGACAAGACCCTGGATAGAAGATGGGACTGGGCTGCAGATTTAGGGCATGTCATTTTTTATTATTTTTATTAATAATAATAAATTATTTTTATTATTTATTTTTATTAATAAATAATAAAAAATTTTATTTTTAGTTTTTATTATTTTTATTAATTTTTTATTTTCAAAATTTTTATTATTTATTTATTTATTTAGTTTTTTTTTGTTGTTGTTTCTTTCCGGTACCGGGAATCAAACTCACGACCTCACACTTGCCAGGCAGGCGCTGTGCCACTGAGCTAAATCCCCAGCCCCATTTTTATTTATTATTAAATAAAAAATTACTTTTGTCTTTTTTGTTTGTTTGTTACTGTTTTTCTTCCGGTGCCAGGGATCAAACTCACGACCTTGCGCTTGCCAGGCAGGCACTTTGCCACTGAGCTAAATCCCCAGCCCTACTTTTGTCTTTTTGACCCAGGGTCTCACTATGCAGTTTAGGCTGGCTTTGGACTCATTTAGTAGCCCAGGCTGATCTTGAACTTGCAATGATCCTCCTGCCTCAGCCTCCTGAGTGCTGGGATTACAGGTGTGCACCACCACGCCCGGCATCAATATTTTTATTTTTTAACCTTAACCTTGAACCCAAATCTTTGTGATTTTCCCACCTCTTCTGGTGGGCATACTGAACTACAGGATTTTTGCACAAGTTCCTTATGCCTAGCACTAAGCTGTTGAGCAGATGGGGTAGGCTGGGCTTGTGCCTACAGGGTCTTATCTGCCCCTAAGTCATGTTTGGTATACAGCAGAGGCTTAGGCGGGTTTGCTGACTAAACCAAATGGCCCTGGAAGCCCTGCAGCACAGCTGGCTGGCTCTCTTCTGGCATAAGTAGAAAGGATCACTCTGGTTCCCAGAAGCTTTGGGTAGGACCAGGGATATAGCTCGGTGCATTGTGCCTGCCTGGCAAGCACAAAGTCAAGAATTCAATTCCTGGTACCAAAAAAAAAAAAAGAAAAAAGAAAAAAAAAAAGAGGCAGAAGCTTTGGGCATTGGCCTGGCTTCCAAATGGGGAATGTCTCACATAGGAAATTGGGCTCCAGTAGTTGGGGAGATAAGCTGTACCCTTTGTCCTTCACGGAGAAGAGGCTGAGCTGAGAATCTTGCCTTTTTTTTTTTTTTTAAACAGGGTCTCAGTATGTAGCTCAGGCTATCCTTGAACTCACTGTGTAGCCCAGCATTGAAGTTTTAATCCCCCTGCTTCAGCCCATTAAATACTGGGATTACAGGCATGGCCCACACCTGGCTCCAGCTCTTGGCAGTTTGGGGGT